CAGGCCCTGAGGCAACAAAGCAGCCCCAAACCATGATGCTCCCTCCGCCATGTTTTACAGTGGGGATGAGGTTTTGATGTTGGTGTGCTGTGCCTTTTTTTTCTCCACACATAGTGTTGTGTGTTCTTCCCAAACAACTCAATCTTGGTTTCATCTGTCCACAGTATATTTTGCCAGTAGTGCTGTGGAACATCCAGGTGCTCTTTTGCAAACTTCAAACGTGCTGCAATATTCTTTTTGGACAGCAATGGCTTCCTCCGTGGTGTCCTCCCATGTACTCCATTCTTGTTTAATGTTTTCCTTATTGTAGATGTGTCAACAAAAATGTTAGCATGTGCCAGAGATTTCTGTAGGTCTTTAGCTGACACTCTGGGATTCTTCTTTACCTCATGCAGCATTCTGCGCTGAGCTCTTGCAGTCATTTTTACAGGACGACCACGCCTAGGGAGAGTAGCAACAGTGCTAAACTTTCTCCATTTGTAGACAGTCTGTCTTACCGTGGACACATGAACATCAAGGCTTTTGGAGATACTTTTGTAACCCTTTCCAGCTTCATGCAAGTCAACAATTCTTGATGGTAGGTCTTCTGAGAGCTCTTTTCTGCGAGGCATGGTTCACATCAGACAGTGCTTCTTGAAAGCAGTAAACCCAAAACAGGTGTGTGTTTTTTTAAGGGCAGGACAGCTGTCAGCAACACATCCAATATCATCACACTGATTGGAGTCAAGGTTGGCTCACTCCTGGCTCCAATTAGCTCTGGGAGAAGTCATTAAGCTAGGGCCTCACATACTTTTTCCTCCCTGCACTGTGAATGTTTACATGTTATGTGCAATTAAACCATGGCAACATCTAATGTTTGTGTAGTATTATGTTCAGCAGACTGTGTTCTTCTATTGTTGTGACTTAGGTGACGTTCAGAGCACATTTTATGCCCAATTCATGCAAAACTCCATGTAATCCCAAGGGGTTCACATACTTTTTCTTGCAACTGTATACTAAAATTGGAACGATACAAAGAAGATTAACATGGCCGCTGCGCAAGGATGACATGCAAATTCATGAAGTGTTCCATATTTTTTTTGATGACATCAAGCTTTGCAGTGGAATAACGTCCTTACAGAATGTCTCCAACTTACAAGCCAACCTCAATGCACCGTTGAATTGAACTATATGGCAAATGAGGTTTAATGTAGATAAATGTAAGGTGATGCACTTGGGGGCTAAGAATATGCATGCATCATGCATATTAGGGGGGGGGGTACAACTGGGGGAACCAATGGTGGAGAAGGATCTGGGAGTTCTGGTAGATCACAAGCTTAATAATGGCATGCAATGCCAAGCTGCAGTTTCTAAAGTGAGCAAAATCCTCTCTTGTATTAAGAGGTATAGACTCCAGAGGGAGCGATATAATTTTACCCCTGTACAAATCATTAGTAAAACCTCATCTGGAATATGCAGTTCAATTTTGGCCATCAATTCACAAAAAGAACATTGGGGAACTGGAGAAAGTACAGAGAAGAGCAACCAAACTGATAGGAGGCATGGAGGAGCTCAGCTATGAGGAAAGATTAGAGGAACTGAATTTATTCTCTCTTGAGAAGAGGATATTGAGGGGGGATATGATCAATATGTATAAATACATCAGTGGTTCATATAGTGAACTCGGTGTACAGTTATTCACCCTGAGGTCATCACAGAGGACAAGGGGGCACTCTTTTATATCAGAAGGAAAAGAGATTTAATCTCCAAATACAGAAAGGTTTCTTCACAATAAGAGCAGTAAAAACGTGGAATAGACTCCCTCAAGAGTTGGTTCTGCCCAGTTCAGTTGATTGCTTTAAAAATGTCCTGGATTCTTTCCTAGATACACAGAATATAACTGGATACTAACATTTATAGGTAATGTTGATCCAGGGAATATCAGATTTGCCTCTTGAGGGATCAGAAAGGAATTTGTTTCCCCTGCAGGAGTAAATTGGATCATGTTTTGCTGGGTATTTTTGTCTTCCTCAGGATCAACTGTGGGTATAGGATTATTTTTTTTGTTTTTTTTTTTGGTTTAACTGGATGGACTTTGGTCTTTTTTTTTTTTAGCCAGAATAACTATGTACTGTAAAGTAACAGAGAACCAAGCACTTGAACCAACAGGAAAAGGCCAAAAAATACTTGTTACTGGCTGTATTTTCTAGGTACATTGGCCACCTAGCTCCTGGCTTTTAGACATTCCTGAAATAAGATGACATTGGGACATAACCTATCAAATAAAATTGTCCTAAAGAACTGTGTTTTCACAAAAAAATGATAGGGAATTTTATCAAAACCGGAGCAGCCAGAATCTGTTGCAGCTGTGCATGGCAACCAATCATCCTATATCTACAGCTTGTTCAGTCTAGCTTTGAAAAGGGAAGCTAGAAGCTGGTTGCCATGCATAGCTTCAGCAATTTCTAGCTGCTCTAGTTTTGCTAAATGTTCCCCAATATTTTTCATCCAATATTGGGCCTGCATTGAAAATAAGGTGTATTTGCGCTTTGATATTTTACTGTTGCCAATGCAAACCATTTCCATTTCAGATGAATTGTACCATGCATCCCTCACCAGAATTATTTAGTGCTTACCTTTTAGTCCTGAAGTTGTCCCTCCTGTAGAAGACCCTCTGGCCACTGTAGATGACAACCGAAGGTTTGGAGAAGGCTCATGGAGTTCTGCCTTGTAAGGGACACAGTGAAACTAAATCACACCTTCGCTCTCAGTTTAAGTCTGGCTTTCCTTGGTTGACCTTGTATACAGTAGATTTAGCCTTGATTAGGGCATTACTTTCATGAGTAAATAAGGAAGTGTCACCTCTTCCTCTTTTTTTTTTTTTTTTTTTTTTTTATCGCACAAACATTTGCTAAAAAAATGTGTATTCAGTGCATGCACAACTTGTTTTCCCACATGTTCTTTTATTGTGGATTAAACCTGGCGTTACTGATACTTTTCAAAGTTTAGTTGGTAAATGTTGTGGGTTTTGTTACTGACATTTGATAATCACATATACTGGTGACTTGTTCACTGCTTTGTTTACCTTCCCATAGGGTGGTGGCACAATGGGCACCCAATGTTGGCACTGAAAGTTTGTATAGTCAAACATCTCTAAGCCTTAATTACATTTATAACGCCTGTAACATGACCCTATTATAATTTCTAACCATGTTGGTCTATACAAGTGTCTACTTTTTTGTATGGTGTCCTTCTGGCCTTAAATGTCAAACATACAGAAGTCCCAATTTCTTTTCCCAGCACAGTGTCTCAGCTTAGTTACAGTGGTGAGAAAACAAGTTGCATTCCCATCATGTAACGCAAGTTGTTTTATTTTGTGTAAGGTGTCCTGTTGGCATGCAATAAAGGTCTGCATAGGCACAACATTTTTAAAGATGTCTGATACTAGGCATAAAACTCACTCCTACCCCATTGTCATTGAAGTAAAAAGCTGATGGTATTTAATGAGCTGGTATTTCTTCATTTTAAAATAATGTAGTTGACTTACTAAAAGCAGTAGAGGTTGTTCACCTACCAAAACAAATGTGGATGAATTAGGTGAACCTGTGTAGATCACTGAACCCAAAATGGGAGGGGGTGGGGGTTAACCTTTGTGGATCTGGATTTCAGAAGCACCTCTCTATCAGCCAGGGTGGTATCCTTTGTTTAGAGTGTGCAGAGAGTAAAGTGCTATAGATACAGTGTCAATTTTGTATTTTGCAAAATAGATCACAAGAAAAAGCCAATATGCCTGACTAGAAACCCAAATTCTATGCTTGGTTTTACAATTTGTTGTCCTGTTTTCTCCGTATTTTACAATCAACATCTAAGCCCTGGTAAAAGGGGAGTGTTGAACCCCAAAATGTGATTTTTGGTGATCTATTGTGCAAAAAACAAGCTTGGTTGAACTTACACTCCATCTGTGGTGCTGTTGTTCTCTAATCACACTCATTAAACTTCTCTGGGAACCCCCAAAGATATCCCAGCTAATGGAGAGCTGCCTCTGAAATCCACATAAGATGTCTCATCCTTCTTGTTTTTGGATCCAATGTTCTACCACAATTCATTTTATCGATATTCTGCAATAAAAGCATCTTATCTTCTTCCTCACAATCATCTTTATACTGTACACTGAGCTGTGCAAATGTAGGTCACAGTACCAGGTGTTAGGATGAGTTACCTTCCATGTTCATGGGCAGAAGTCAGGTCATCCTATGCAGAGTTATCAAGATGGTAAAACACCCCAAATATTGAGAAACCAGGGAGAAGATTGTTTGGATCAGTAAGGGACCTTGCAGATGTTGCATTGCAGGAGTAGAGGTGAATATAGGCGGAGTTTAGTATGTCTTCAAGCATACCACACATGAAACAATCTGACTGTACAGTCTCCTCTAGTAACAATTATGCAGTGCAAGGGTTTGCCTGATTGGATATAAGTTGATTGGATAGTTTAGGAGGTGTGGTAAATGGGCTTGGCCTGTCTGTGACGCTATCGCGTATCGGAGTGGCTCCATGCTGTCATCCGCTCCTATTCACCGTCTCTCTGAGCTCTTTGGGCTGTTTGAGTTATCATCCTTTTTATGGACATTTTGGAGTTGTGGACCTAATAAAGGTGCTAGGTGTAAGAGTTTTTATATAATTTACTATGGGAGGTTGTATATGTATATATTATTTTTTTTTTTAATCTGATGATGTCCTAGGAAATGGTTGTATGGCATGGTGGAATCATCTCTAACCCTGACATACTGGGCACTTTATGACCATTTATAATCTAATGGCCCAGCAGATCTGGTAAGAGGCACATTTTTGGTCCTATCTAATGGTGGTGGAGCTTTTCACACAGTGGATAGGAATTAATTACACTTCATGCACAAGTTTAAGGTTCTGTTGCTTTTTGAATGGAGATTCTTTAACCTCCTCCCGCCCGCCATATAGTACAATGATGGGCGCAAGGCGGTTCTCTTGTTCTGGGAGGATGTCATATGACGTCCTCCCATTCTAACCGCGCATAAGCGGCTCCGGGAGCGCGCAGCGCAGTGATCGGTGGTGCGCTGTGTCCCTCGGACACAGTGGATCACTGATCAACAGAAAGAGCCTAAGATGTCGGCTCGGTCATGTGATCAGCTGTGCCAATCATTCTGACAGCTCGTGAGGAGAGGAGAGCTGGTAATCGGCATTCCTCGGAGGGGACATGTACACTGATCATCAGGGCACTGTTAGTGTCCATCAGTGCCAGCTCTCAGTGCTCATCCATGCCACCTGCCAGTGCCCATCAGTGCCACATCATTGCCACATTTCAGTGCACATCAATGCCACATATCAGTGCCCATCTGAGCTGCCTTTCAGTGTCACCCATCAGTGCCACCTATCAATGCCAGTCAGTGCCATATATGAGTGCTGCCTTTCAGTGCCCATCAGTGATGCCTGTCAATGCCCATCAGTGCCACCTACCAGTGCCTCCTCATCAGTGCCACCTATCAGTGTCCGTCAGTGCCCATCACTACAGCCTCATTAGCGCACATCAGTGAAGGAGAAAAATAATTTATTTACAAAATTATATATTATATTAACAAAAAAAGTTTTTTTTTTTTTCAAACTTTTCAGTGGTTTTTGGTTTGTTTAGGAAAAAAAAAAACCCAGAGGTGATTAAATACCACCAAAATAAAGCTCTATCTGTCACAACAAAATGTTAAAAATTTCATATGGGTACAGTGTTGCATGACTGCGCAATTGTCATTCAAAGTGTGACAGCGCTGAAAGCTGGAAATTGGCCTGGGCAGGAAGGGGGTATAAGTGCCCTGTAGGCTAGTGGTTAATGGAGGTCTTTCTATGGACATCATTTTTTCCTTTTATCTTTTACATATTTTGTATTTGATTTATATATTTTGTAATCTTTTATGCATTTTCATGTAACTGGGATTTAATATTTACCACTTATATATTTTGTAATTAGCGCTGGTTTTTATTTGTAGTATGTAATTGACTGGTATCATGGTTTTAAAGTGGCTGCTTTTTTTTTTTTTTTTTTTTTTTCCTTTTGTTGAATTGTATGACCTAGCTTGAATATTATTTGTTTACAAATCTATAAGAGATTGTACAATCAGTGAAATGTGTATGGTGAGCTTAATACTGATTCTAGTGTGTGATGGCATTATGGCATTAGCTACGCTGAAAGGAAGACTGATGCAAATGAGTAGATAAGATAAAAGCAGAACTATGTAATAAATCTAATCATATTATCATTATTATTTATTAACCTCTTTACCACCTGATGTTCCCTGATCACTTCCAGCAGCATTGGAAATTTGCAGCCCAACATTGGTAGGCCAATATTCCTTACTTCTGTATCTCTCCTTTTTTTTATTTTAAAATTTTACAACAGTATGATCACATACAGAAAAACATGAGAAACTAACTGAGAGAATCCTGTCTAAGGGCTTTCTCACACAGCAGCTGCACTTAACACGTGTAGTGTCCATTTGGAAGAATCTTTCGAGCATCACACAGTTTGCTTTTCCTCCTTTTTTTTTTTTTTTGTTGGAAGTGACATTTTTTTTTAAGTTCTATTGGCTGTGGTGTGATGCAGTGGATTGTGGCACACAATCATGCCACACTTTTATTTTGTGTACACATCACAGCGCAGTGGTTAGTACTGGTCTCATAGGGGACAAGGCCTTTTTGCTTTGTTTTGTGTTGGGACTGAGCTGAGATGCCCAGTGCAAGTTCCAATGTACCTGGTGTGAAAGAATAATTTCTGTGTTTGCTTTTCTTTGTGTTTTTTTTTTTTTTTTTTTTTTTTTTGTTTTTTTCTACCTGAATTTTTGTTTTCATGATCGTTCTATTGGAAATTAGTACATGAAAATTAGCAGAAAATTAGACATGTCTACATTTTTACCAATGCAGTGCAACAGAATACAACACCGTGCACAGATGTGAATGACATAATTGGATTCAATACATTTTTCTGACAGATGAGTTTTCGTGCATTCCAATAATTCAAAGATGTGAACCAGGCCTAAAAGGGCTTGTTCGCTTTTTAATTTGTGATTGTGATTTTTTATTTTTTTTCCCCCACTTTGTTTTGCTCTGCAGATGATTGTGCATTGTAAATCAATAATAATCCACTTGTTGCACAGTGCCATTTTTTGCTTAGTGTTGCCTCAAAATTCTGAAAGTAAAGTGTGTTGAGATGTGCAGTCTATCAGTAAAGGTGGCGGTTATGCTGCATTCATCTCAGAGTTCAGTGACCTTCATAAATGCATTTGGCCTTGTATTTTTAATAATGATTTTGATCAGTAATCTGTGTGTAAACTATTAATTTATGCTGGAAATGTGTATATCCTATTTATAATGAAGACTGTCTGGGAACTTCCCTTTTGTCTAATTGGCTAATCTGATCTAACCTGGAACTGATAGTGACAAGATTTCAATTGTAAATTTACATCAAGCCTGGTTAGGTTTTTTCTTTTTCGTCCCTGAATATAAACCATAAAATGTGGGTCACCTGACATTAGCCTGTGTTGTCGCTTAGGGCCAACATGCAGAGAAATGCTAACTTCATGCCATGTTGTTTGTAGTAATTTATACCAGAACTCTATTGATGCACCATCTAAGCCAGCCTTTCTAAACCTTTTTAACCCAAAAGAACCCTTGAAATAATTCTCAGGAACCCCTGCTAAAATGAATTCCTTGAGGGTCAATGGGAAGAGTGCCCCTTGCATTGGTAGTCAGTAGGAAATATGCCCCCTTTTACTGTGGTGGTCACAATTCTACCCTTACAAACAGCTAAAAAAGATGATTGTTATCATGCTGCTTGTCTTGCCAAATGGAATTAAACCAGTAACTATGCAGGAACCATCAGATAAGAGGTCACAGCTCAAGGAACCCCTAGCAAACTCTGGAGGAACCCTGGTTCAGAATGGCTGGTCTAAGCAGTTAGTTTCTGTGTTCCCCATACATATGGCAATAGCTGTTTTTACATTTGTATTTTCCAGCATGTTTCTGCTGGCATAACTGTGAGCTGTTCGAGAAAAGTCTACTTCTGTCTGATTTTATTTTTTAATTCTTTAAAGTGATTCTAAAGGTTGCAATTTTTTTAAAATAACAAACATGTCATACTTACCTGCTCCGTGCGATGGTTTTGCACAGAGCAGCCCTGATCCTCTTCTTTTTGGGTCCCCTGTCGGCACTCCTGATTCCCCCCCCCCAGCTGAGTGCCCCCAATAGCAAGCCTCCAGCTATGAGGGCACTCGAGCAGGCTCACTCCCTACATTGTCCATTCACATGTACAGTGTGGCTCAGTCCCGCCCCCCGGTTTCTTCCCATTGGCTAGCTGGCTATGATTGACGGCAGCATTTGAGCCACTGAGAACAGAGAGACCTGGGAGCGCCTTGGCTGTCATGCCCTACACTGGATCGAGATGGTATGTGGGTAAGTATAAGGGTGGAAGGGGGCTGAGGGGGGAGCTGCACCCAGAAGGTTTTTCTACCTTTTAATACATAGAATGCGTTTAAGGTTAAAAACCTTCTGCCTTTAGAATCACATGAACAATTTTTTTATAAGGACAGGGAAGCAGTCACAGAGATCATAGCTATTGTACACACAAGTGAAGGAATCAAAAGCCACAGTAATATGTATATAAGGTATTCCATTAGAAAATGTGACAATGTCCTGAGACATCTTAGATATCATTTAAGGCCTTGGCAATGACGCGGCCACTGTCTGGTCTCAATCATATATTCAAAACCAACCGGAAAAAGTAGCACTAGCAGAGAAAAGAGAAGAAAAAGGAGGGGGGGGGGGGGGGGGGAAATCTAGGAAGAAGAGGGAAGATAATAAGGGAAGGGGAAAGGAGGGGGATCTCTGAGGCTATTCGCTGCTTGTCCCCAGGCTGCTGGTTAGGTAAATAAAACGGAAGGTTGAAAGTTAAAGGTTAACCTTTTTGAAATAAATAATAAATGCACGTATTTTTGCAGGGAACATATTTTTTTTTTTTTTTTTTTTGAAGCCTGCATAACACTCATGACCAGTGGATCTTTGGTGCAGTGTCATGTTCCTGTATGCAGGGGCGGACTGACAACTCATGGGGTCCCCGGGCAATAGGGGATCATGGGGCCCCTGTGTCCTTGCCCAAACTCAAAAAAGCCTATGAAAAATGTACCAGGGGCATCTCATGGGGCCCCCTACTGACCCCGGGCCCTCGGGCAGTGCCCGAGTTTCCAAATGGTCAGTCCGCCCCTGCCTGTATACACTGCCTACATCTCTGACGGTGCTGACCAGAGTGCTTATGGTCAGTTGACACTGCCTACAGCTCTATAACTGAAAGCCTGTACACAGTCCTTTGAAAACTAAGGTCCATCTGCCACGGTGGCAGATGGGACTTGAAGTTTGTTCATTCACAGGTCTCTGTGTATAAATGACACTGCTGTGCGGGCAGACAGCTGTACTGTTTTAAAGAACCCCTGGACACTGACATAGGGAGGATATGTTCAGTGTAACAATCTTGATGAATCAGAATTGGGTTTATGAACATTTATATCTAGGATTTTTGATGCTGGAGGGGTTTGATTTTTTTTTAAATGTGGTGCTCCCCTGAGTGAGTGCACTGCAGGGGTAGGCATGGTTCACATACATTGAGTGTTTTGTTTGTTTTTTCGGTTTCGAAACCTAGAGCCCTGATCAGTCCCTACACACTGCATTCACTATTTTGACAGTCTCCCTTATGCAGTGATACTTCTGATTCCCACAGGCGTCATAAGGCTTGTGATTTCTGCCTGTTGTGTGTATGTCATTGTGTGGTGGGTGAGGTGCGCCTTATGTACATACAGTCATAACACTCAGCCAAAGTGTTTTGAGGGATTAGGGTTCTCAGGAATGTTGGAAGCTGAAAACTTTTTATGCACTAGACTAGAGTGGTGTATCATCCATGTGTGCAATCTGTGCAGTGCACACAGGTCCTAAGGGATGTGGGGCCCACTGTGCCCTTACACATTGCACAAGAAGTGTGGAGGAAACACCATTAGCCTCCTCCTTCTGTGATGCTAAGGTCTGTAATAAGTGACACAGAGTCTAGGTGTCATTAGTAGATAAGTTACTTACTGCTTACCCCTGAACATGTCAACGCCTAATGCACCTCTACAGACACTGTGCTGTGCACTTCCTATTCAGCACTGTCTCATTCTAAACTATGTAAGTCAACCCACATTCTATGTAGTCACATCCTTTAAATCACGACCAATATTCAGTGCAGCGAGAAACAGGCTCATTTCTTTGCCGTGGCACACCAGCGCACTGCATTTCCTTGTGAGGCAAGGAAGCCCAGCTTCTAATTGTAGCACCCTCATAGCTAGTGTAGGTTGCTAGGTAAATTTAGTTTAGCTCTTCTGTGGTCAGCAGAACAGGGGTTGATTTTGCTCTGGTCTGCTCAGTGTCTCGCAGGCTGCTGATTAGATTGCTTCTCCCTGCATTCTAGAGGATTCTAAAATCATAGCA